TCAACGTGTGGTTCCCGATGATACCAGTAGATGGATGACTAAGTTAAAAGGTCATGACCTTTATCTGCTATCTGGATGAATCAGAATGTGCTGACAGGTGTTAGAGAAATTGACAACTTTATTGTATGACGTAGAAATTAGCAATGTAGAAAGGGGATTATCGTTTATCAAAAATGAAAATTTATTTGAAAATGACTAGAGATACAAATTCTTACATAGTTAGTCGTGGATTATCGAATTCATACAATCTCGATAGTTAATGTATTGAATTTTATAGGCCAACTCGGCTCGGACTTTAACATTTGATAAATTTAATTCCGAGTAAAAAATCCAAACTACTGTATGTCTTTATGAAGGTTGCACGACCTCTTCCAACATTTTCTGTAAATTTTCAAAGGAATATTGACTTAGTCTTTTTCTTGTGACAAAATAGTGCAATATATTTTAATTAGTTTCCGACTTTACCCGTTATGAGTTTCTAAAAATAAAAGGCAAATTCATTATTTCAAATTATTTAAACTGCCTGATGAAGTCGCGAACATATATTGAATACAAACTGTAGAAGTACTATGGGTACATAAGGCGAGTTGCAATCTTATTGATTGTTGCATGTGTTAGAGGAGGAAATATTATTTTGGATCGGGAACTTGTTTCATTTTTCTGATTTTGATGATGGACTGTAAAGCCTACTGGAAATCTATGTAAAATGAAAGTTGTGCATTGGGGTTAAAAGAATATAACATTAAGTAGGGTTTATTTGGTTCAAAAGATATCATTCAGGAACCAATTGTTTTGTCACAATTGCAGTCTATAAATAGCTGTTGTGAACATGATCTATTGATCAAAATCAATAAGGACATTTCCTACTAAATGATGGATTTTCAAATCACGTTTGATTTTGTTGCAGTTCAGTGTTTCTGTTGGTCCGTTGTTTTCTTCTTATAGTTAATGTGTTTCCCTCGGTTTTAGTTTTATCCCGGATTTGTTTTCGTTTAATCGATTTATGACTATTGAACAGCGGAATACTACTGTTGCCTTTATTTGGTACACGATAGACTTAGGGTTTAAAAGATAACATACGGAAACAATATTTTGCCTTAATTTCACTCTATCGAAAACTATTGTGAACTTGATCTGTGGACCCAAATGAATAAGGACATTTCCACATTATCTTTTCTTTTTTCTAAAAATAGTTCATCGGAATATACCAAGACCTTGTTGATAAATATTTCGTATCAACTTCACAAATAATACATGATGGTCTTAAAGTATAGATTCTAGGTACTGACGTTGTTTATCATCTTAATTACGTGTTATAGTGTTTTTTTATTTGTTTTTGTATATCTTTTACCTTTACTGTTTAATCCATTTTTGGTAATATCTTTTTGGCGTTGCTTGGAAATCATATCCCCGCCATTGTGTTATTGTGCTATGGCCATTTTTTGTAGTCTTGTCTTTCATTTTTGCTTATGACTGTTTAAATGCCATTTTGTTTTTCTTAGTTCACATAGTTGTTTGTTTTTATAGTGATAAGGATTATAACACAATGTTGACTGCTGTACCCCTATTTTGACATTTTTAGCTATTATGTCTGTTTGTTTTGTTCACACATTGTTGTCAATATAATGGAATTTTATGCGACTGTCATACAAGTGAGAGGTTTAGCTAGATATAAAACCAGGTTTATCCACCATTTTCTACATAAGGAAATGCATGTACCAAGTCAGGAATATGGCAGTTGTTTTCTATTAGTTGATTTGTTTGAGCTTTTGGTTTTGCCATTTGATAAGGAACTTTCCGTTTTGATATTTCCTTGGAGTTCGGTATTTTAGTTATTTTACATTTTTCTAACTAAATGCCGGATTTTCAAACCACGTTTGGTACAAGATGGACATAATGTTTAAAAGATAACATTCGGAAACCATATTCTGCCTAATTTAAATCTATCGAAAACTGTTGTGAGATTTATCTTTGACATAGTGACCCAAAATCAATAGCGGTCTTGCTCACCTGATTAGAATTTATATTTAACAAAGTGTTGTAGTAGTTGGAAATATGGTTAAAAACAACAATCACAAACTCATGGCGGATTATCACAGCAAGTTTGCACTAATGTAAGTATATCAATAGCTGTTGTTACTTTGGCTTCAAACTCATTACCCCAAACTCAATTATTATCATTAGTCTTCCTCGCCCTATTAGGGCATCATAAAACAAAGTTTGGTAAAGAATTTGTTTTGCGCTTGAAATGTTTTTTGTTACCATGACAGATAGAGGTGTGAAGACTGGAGCATGGAGTATTACGGCTCAACTCTCACATATTAGCATAACAATAGCAGTAAAGGACGACTCGACTTGCCAAGTCTTTCAGTACACATATTTGTTAATTCAATAAACGAATTTAATTTTCATCTAATTAAATTCTATTAAATTTAACCATTATTGTAAATGTTAGAAACAATATCTTCAGATAATGCCACTTTTCTCCTCCAAAATGACATGAAAATGCAAATTGACGGTATTTGTATAAACAAAAGTGAAAAAAATTTAATGAACCTGTTTTATATGCGACTGTCCTGTCTGATGGCCATCGTGAATCTGGTCTCTTAATCCGACACGTTTTGGGTGATAAAAACTTAAGAATGCAGTCAGGTTCCTCACATGGAATCATCATCGTTATTTGAATAAAAGACAATTACACATTATAAATTTCGTTCATTTCAAGCGCCTTCATCTGGAACACCAAAACTTAAACCCATGAGCTTGTAACTGTAAAATTCTTATTTAAACGGGATATCACATCTTTTTTGTTTTGGTGCTGTTATTTATATAGAGCCTTTAAATTATGATACGAGTTAACTTATTGATCCTTTGAATAAACTTATTCTGAAATGTAATCAATGTAACACTGTTACATAGTAAATTATTTGAGTATTGATTATTTTTTATTTGTGCTAACATTATATATTTTTTCAATAATATACAAAATCTATCTAAAACATGGGTCTTACATCCTATCGATACTTACATGTTTGCATTGCATCAGATCAATCATGCTTTTCTCAGACCGTTGAAAAATTCGTTAATCTAAATCTTTTGGTTGTGTACTGATTGATATTTAAATTTGAGATAACATATAATTTATCTAAACTATTCGTTGAAATTAGCTTTGAACTTGGATTCAGTAACTCCACTTACTGTGAAATCGGAAACTTGTATCCTTTTATCTTTTCGTTATTTGTATAAATATATTGTACTATGATCTGATGGGTCAAAACTGTTCCAATTGATTTTACAGTTCGTTCTTTTGTTCCTCTGTTACACAACTGTCCCAGGTTTGGGAAGGGTTCAGCGCTTGCAAACATTTTAAATCCCGCCACATTCTGTGTGTGCCTTTCCAAAGTTAGGAGCCAGTTATTCCTTTATTATCGTTTGTTGCTGTGTGTTATAACTGTTTTGATAGAGGGTTGCTGCTCACAAGGAAGCTATTAAACCAAGAGTTCAAAATGATGAAGTTGAAATCCTTCCTTCGTAAATTTTACCGACGCCATCACGAGTTGGTTGACCGTTATGGAATTTCCGTTTCACAGATGATAGCGGATATGTTCCTAATGTCGTAACTACAATCCCGTTCCCTTTTCACGAATGTGACCTACCGAATTAGACTATTTACCGGGTTTGTACTAAATGAGCAACGCGATTGGTGACACATGTGGAACAGGATCTGCTTACCCTTCCGGAGCACCTGAGATCACCCCAGTTTTTGGTGGGGTTCGTGTTGCTTAGTCTTTAGTTTTCTATGTTGTGTTTTGTGTACTATTGTTTGTCTGTTTGTCTTTTTCTTTTTTTAGCCATGGCGTTGTCCGTTTATTTTTGATGTATGAGTTTGAATGTCCCTCTGGTATCTTTCGCCCCTCTTCTGTATATTGTTTTATCTTAAATAACGCCGTTAGTTTTCTTGTTAAATTGTGTTATTTTTATTATGTCGGGGTCTTTTATAACTTACTATATAGTATATTTTTTTCTCTTTACTGAATGCCGTACTGTGGCATATAATTGCATACATACACGTCATTTGATCTCTGTTGTATAGTTGTCTAATTGGCAATCATAACATATCTACTGATTTTTACACAGTTATAACATAAAATTTCAGCATTTTACATCATATTTACAAACATATTACATTATTGTTTGAAATATAAAACAAGTATAATATTTTTTTCTTAATATTTTTTAGCCAAAATTGCATTTTATTAATGTGATTAGGTTGGAAATATATGATAGTTGTTCTGTACATTATTATTCTTATTTTTGATAAATGAATCAAGATGTTTATGATGTAAGGATGCATCAAGTAGGTTGTATCCGTATAGCACCTCCTTATTTGCACATTGCGTTTTTAGAGATAATATACCGCTTTGAGGAAAAATGTATCATAGTTATATCATTGGATCAAAGTTCAATTTTCTTTGTTTTTGTTTTTATAGCTATCTGCAATCAGCATATCATCAGTTTCGCCCGGGTTTCCTTTAATTCAGCTATAGGAAACAGCTGCTTTACATAAATCCGTACACCAACACATAAAACCTTAAGATAGTTATCATTATTTTCTAAGTACGGGGCTAGTGTAGCTTAATATAAACATAGGCTTTCGACAAAATGATCCGTTTTCAATCTAACGAAAGTAAACAAGGAAATGTTTATTTCTATATAAAACAGATCCAAGTTCTTCCGTTATACAAAAGGTCAACTTATATTTTTTTTAGAAAGTTTTGTTGATATCAATATTCCAATTGAATGGCTGTTAATTATAAAAAGGGCTTCAAATTTATGAAAATGAAAAGTTTGACACAAAAATAACTGTTATTTCAGATGAAGATGATAATCAACAAGATTATGAGGAAATTGCCGAATATGTTGATAAGCCGTCAGAAGAAAAAAAGGATCAAAACAAATATACAAATTGGAATGAACGTGGTACGAGCAAATCTAGAAATTCACACAAGAAAAAGTTTGGGAACGACAGAAATGAAAACACAAAAGACATCGACTTACAACTACCTACAAAACAAAAACTGGTCGATGTGAAAGAAGTAAGCAGAAAATGGAGAACAGCATGTGCAGTATCTGCCTTTGTATGTGTTGGGTTAATGTCAGCTCTTGGTGTACTATTGTGGTTAGTGCTATCAACAAAGGGTAAGAAATTTGATTTTATGAAAAATGAAAGCAAAGAATGTTTTTTATATGCGTGCCAAAAAAAAAAAAATCACAGAATAACAACTAATACCAATTACCCTTAACTCAACCAAACTACGTTTTAAATGTGAGGTAAACAAACAAAAAAAGGTCTAGGGGAGACAATTGTTTTTATCTGGTCAACTCTTAGTTGATGAATAAGGATCTATGTCTCTATGATATTTTTCATTACTTATGTACTATCTCTTTTGTTATTCTTACATAATAAAATATGGTTAAACTGTAATTTAAAAGGAAATGATCACATGTTTTGGGTTCATGGATTGTTGTTGGCTATTTTGTTTTGTGTATTTAGTGTTTGAGCCATAGAAAGCATTGTTAAATTATTATGATTTTTTTCTTTCATGTGAAACATAATTGCCCTTTAGCACTGAGTACTAAAATGTAACAATTGCAGATGTTACTTTATTTATAGCGTCTCCGTGTGAGTATGTACAGTGTCTTCATGATGGGAATTGTTCTGTTTCCGGAGACAAAGCAATCTGCAACTGCCATACTGGTTTTAATGGATTAAAATGTGAAGGTACAAGTTTATTATCTTTTTATTTTAAATCTTGTTAATATCGGAAGTTGGATAATGGAAGTTGATATAAGACATTTCCGTAATTATATTTCGTCAAATGCGCATACAGCAGTCTTTCGAAAATAAATTATCAATTCGTTTTATTATTTTTTTTTTAAATCATTATCATATAATTAAATTGTTATTACGAATTGTGGAATTCCGTAATACGAATTAAACGCAAAATAACAAATTATTTTGGACTCCTAGTTATATTGTGGTTGTTCTATAAATGACTTAATCTGTAAGCATGAGTATGTTCTACTTTAATTTGACGCTTCTTGTGTTTTGGGAACCAAATCTTATTCGATAAGTTAATTTCCATGTGCCTATGTAATTTAATGACACATTTATTTTAGACAAATAACGCCTAGCCTTTTGAAAAAAAAGAAGGTTTATGACGTGCTTACACTAAATTTGTTTGATGTATACTGATTGATACTTTAGTCTATGAAAACATGATTGATTCATTAGTTGTTATTGGTTTTGAACAAGCTTTCAATAACTTTGAGTACTCAGTGGTACCTTGTGTCATGTGTCCTAATACTTATTGTTTTGGGGTTTCGTGAAAATCTGATTGGTAAAGCTATTTTCAACTGATGGCTTCAGTTTGTTTCTATGTTGGGCTGTTACACCTGTCTTAGGTACGGGAAACAAGCGCTTATATGTGCATGTTTCAAGCCAGGAACTAGTAATTCAGTGTGTGATGTTGGTTGTTGTCTGTCATATTTAATGTTTGGTTCATTGTTTTGTCATACTGACCATTGGTTTTTTTCCGTTTCAATTGTCTCAAATTGTGTCATCTCAGGGGCCTTTTATAGCTGACGATACGTGGGTTTTGCTCATTGTTGAATGGCGTAATGTGCATAAATCCACATCTTTTATTTTATAAAAGTTTTTGCTTACAACTACGCAATTTGTTCTCTCGTAGATAGTTTTCTCGTTTTGCAAAAGAAGTGGGAGGTTTAGCTTACATTAAAACCAGGTTTAACCCACCATTTCTTTTGTCCGGAAAAATGCCTGTACCAAATCAGGAATATGACAGTTGGTTTACATTCGTTTCATTGGTTGATAAAGTCTAACGTTTGATTTTATGGGACTTCCCCGATTGAACTAACCTTGGCGTGCTGTATTTTTGTAATTACTTTATTATTGCAATCATAATCATCCTTTTATTGTATATAAATTGTTTTTGGTTTTGTTTGATCTACTACAATGTAAAAAAAAAGGCTCAGAGGAATTACCAAAATATGGGACAGTACAACATATACTGTTTACATTCTTCTACAATCTTCTCTGGTTTGGTCGTAAATGTGCAAATTGACTACTGTTGTTCGTGGTCATCATTTGGAATTCAAATTTGTATATTACATTGGTACGCAGTTGGTTTTGTATTTTCAACTACCATGACTTTGCGAACGTCGTCTTCGTCTGTCCTGTTATTTTTGAAAAAAAATATTCTCCATAAGAAACCACAAAACAAAATGTTTTGAAATTTGGCAGAAATGATGCATTGCGATTACACTGCAAATGTTTGTCATTATATTGTTGGCTTGTCACAACTGTTTGAAATAAAACATAAGAGAAAAACAGCAGTTTAAGCTTCATATTTCAAAATTAAACACAAATTCGAAAATCTCTTTTGTAGCAAATGAAGCACTTTTGGCTATTGCCTTGAAATCGATAACAGATACAGAGATACGTTAAAAAAAAAAGTTTGATGGCATTATACGACATTTAAGTTAAAATACATGGTAAATTTCTTTTAAAATACATGTACCGTGGTTTTTTTTACAGGTACACCATGTGTTAATTATAGCTGTGCCAATGGTGGAACGTGTTTTCTTCATGAATTTCAGCCAAAATGTGCATGTAAAAATGGATTTACTGGTGCCAGTTGTACAAGTTAGTATATGAGTATTCTGGATTTGAAAGAATAGCTTTCCTATACTATTATGCTTTTTTTCAGGCCAAACACAGCAATGAATAATGAATATGTTTTAGTTAAGAGGTTATTGTAGTAGCAACCACAGGAGAATGTAGTGACAAACACCTACCTCCCGTGCAAACACTGAGAATTGGATCTATTAATGTTTTGCATGTTCTCTGCGCGGACGACGTTACTGATTATAAGCTCAAGATAAAAAATTCATGAAAAAAGTAATAATGAAGAGGAAAACACTAGATAAAAACAAAATTACAATAGGAATAAACTTCTCACGTACAAACTTCAATTCATTTCTATATGCTGTTCTTTGGAACACGCCGATTCTCCGTATATATAAACAGCTTTAAATTATATAGTATACAGCATGTTCAAACTTTTATATTGCTTCTAAGGGAATGGGAGTCAAAAATATTTCCCCCACTTTATGTTCCTCCTTTGCATTTCCTGCAAGATTAGGAGTCGGACTATTGATGTATGGATTTACTGGATATCAATGGTTCCGAAAGAAGATCCTGAATTTATCTTTTCCTTTAAGTTTAGTCCAATGAAGTCGTCAATTGATTTTACAAGATTGTTTACTTACATGTTCGATGATTTTTAACACATAAGAAAATATGAGAAAAGGGTAGGCAGATTTCGTCTTCCCTCAAAGTGAGATTGTGTTAACAGTTGCAAATATATAATATTTGTTTAATTGAGAAAATAAGTAGAACAGATTAAAATGAAAAGAGGGGGCGCGGGGATTATACCCAAAGTATATCTGTGCATGTTTATACATCTCCGTTGTAGAAGAACTTACAAATCATGCAACAATTGTAGTTGAGTTGGGCGTTTTCCTAAGAATTGTTTTATTGTTTTGGCTGCATTGATAATGGTAAAGAAAAAGGATAAATCAGCAATTTCAGTTTTATTTCACCCGCTGTATTCCTTTTGTGCATGCACACGGTTTTGTTCTGGAGTCTGTTCTATAGACATTTAGCATCTCATTGTCCCAAATTTTCTTCAGGACATCTTTAAATATAAAACACGATCTGTTATTCTCGAAACGTGGATTTTGCCATATGCCATTCTGTTAAAATGGAACATTTGCGCATGCGCAAACGGATTGCCGAAAAGAGAGAGATTTTTACCTATTCTTCCGGCTTGCCAGAAATATATAGACACTGCGTTAAATTAAGGGGTTATCAAATTCATAAACATTGTCTTATATATTTGAATTCCGATTTGAAGTTTAAATTCATCAAAATCAAAACATGCCATGACCTTGTTTAAAAACTAGATAAAAGAATTTACAACAAAAACAACCATTAATTGATGTAATGTTATTTTAAAGGAATGAAGCACCATCATGACATTTTCAAAATATTTCAATAATGTATACTTTTCTCATTTAAACAACAGTCATGGCCCGTTGAACAGCAAAATGACTATTCTGTGAGAATTAATTACAGCAACTGGATTTCTTTTATAATCATGCTTTATTTAACCACGAAAAGATAGTTCAAAACTACTTAAATGTTGTATATTTTTCTTTTCTAGTAACACCATGTTCAAGATCACCATGTGAACACGCTGGGACTTGTTCGGTGATCGGTTCGAGTTTTTCTTGTGCATGTTTAAACGGATTTACAGGATTACAATGCGAAAGTAAGAAATAATACCCTCATTTTACGTGCGTATTTATAATCAATATAAACATTAATATAATCACTATTTTCATTGCATACGGATAATGGAGATGCCATTAAGACAGCAACAAAAAAACGGCCGAATCGAGTACTGGACTATTGATTCCAAAAATAATTTCCATCCCTAACGCAGCAGAATTAAGTCAGAATTAGGATTATTTTTCCAATGCGTCGTATAGGATAAACCTTTAAAACATTTTTGAGATTAAATAATATAATGTTCATTGCTTCAAATCTACAGTTTAGAATTATTTACTCTTTTCGTTTTCGAGCATACATCTACGTGTATACTTCTGGAATCGTTCCTTGAAACCCTCATAGACATATTTTCAAAAGAAGTATACTGTTGACCCACCGTACGATCACGGCAGACATTTGTTGCCTTGCAAAAATCAAACGTCGAATTAGAAATCACAACATGGTTTAAATAAAGGCAACAGTAATATACCGCTGTTCAATAGTCATAAATTAATTGAGAGAAAACAAATCCGGGTTACAAACTAAAACCGAGGGAAACACATCAACTATAAGAGGAAAACAACGGAACAACAGAAACACTGAAGTGCAACAAAAACAAACGCCAACATACATAGAAACGAACTATTTGATAACAACTGCCATATTCCTGACTTGGATCAGGACATTTTAAGAAAAAAAATTAAAAAGAGACAAAAAGCCACACAATATTTCACAAAACATTACATAGAACCATAAAGATCAAGCCATACGATCCTCAATAACAACTGAGGTGAATAAGAGTAAGAACCAAGGGGTTGCTCTAATAAAGCCATCCGTTGTTTTGCTTGTGAAAAAAAAGTCTGTGACAAGTTGAAAAGCTAGTTTCATGGCTGTGTCACATATATTGAGTAATGACAGAATCCGGAGGCAAAGATGTCAATGACCTTAGATATATTTGCTATTATATATAGATCCGTTTGGTCAAATAGCTTGTCACGTATTCAAATTATCATATACTTGTAACAAAACATATTTTCGATTTTTTTTTCAAATAAATATACTCATAACTTATTACGAATTAAATTCATAATAACCAATCGAATTTGCAGTTGTTATAAAGAACTAAACCAGTAATTATTACATTTAAAAGGCACCATCAGATCTTCAAGGGTTTTTGTATGTTTTCACATTCTTTTAACTTAACATTTGGTTTTTGTATCAGGTACTCCATGCGTTCGCTATAGCTGTTTCAATGGTGGGACGTGTTTTCTTGATAAATTTCAGCCAAATTGTGCATGCAAAAATGGATTTACTGGTGACCATTGTAAATGTAAGTTTATGAAATAGAGCAATCTTTTTTTTATAGTAATAATCGAAAACAAAAAAAGTATACTCATATAAGCATGTCCGTTGTCTATCAGCTTTGCATTCCAAGTTTCAATTAAGAAGTTTCGGAAAGGACAAGAGTTAAATATTCAACCGTTGTTATAAAGTTAAGAGGTTTTCCTGTACAAGTATTTATCGTATGTTTTAATGCGCGTTTCTTTATTCTAATGATTGAGATCAAAAGAGGGGAGGGTTAAGATCTAACCATCTAGTTTAACCGTTTTCATGCGCCTGTCTAAATAACATTAACGGTACCTATTTTACTGCACCAGTCAAAAGTCGAACACTTAAAACAAATATTGAAGTGCTGATTAAACCAATAAGGACCTTGTTTAAAAACTAGATAAAAGAATTTACAACAAAAACAACCATTAATTGATGTAATGTTATTTTAAAGGAATGAAGCACCATCATGACATTTTCAAAATATTTCAATAATGTATACTTTTCTCATTTAAACAACAGTCATGGCCCGTTGAACAGCAAAATGACTATTCTGTGAGAATTAATTACAGCAACCGGATTTCTTTTATAATCATGCTTTATTTAACCACGAAAAGATAGTTCAAAACTACTTAAATGTTGTATATTTTTCTTTTCTAGTAACACCATGTTCAAGATCACCATGTGAACACGCTGGGACTTGTTCGGTGATCGGTGCGAGTTTTTCTTGTGCATGTTTAAACGGATTTACAGGATTACAATGCGAAAGTAAGAAATAATACCCTCATTTTACGTGCGTATTTATAATCAATATAAACATTAATATAATCACTATTTTCATTGCATACGGATAATGGAGATGCCATTAAGACAGCAACAAAACAACGGCCGAATCGAGTACTGGACTATTGATTCCAAAAATAATTTCCATCCCTAACGCAGCAAAATTAAGTCAGAATTAGGATTATTTTTCCAATGCGTCGTATAGGATAAACCTTTAAAACATTTTTGAGATTAAATAATATAATGTTCATTGCTTCAAATCTACAGTTTAGAATTATTTACTCTTTTCGTTTTCGAGCATACATCTACGTGTATACTTCTGGAATCGTTCCTTGAAACCCTCATAGACATATTTTCAAAAGAAGTATACTGTTGACCCACCGTACGATCACGGCAGACACTTGTTGCCTTGCAAAAATCAAACGTCGAATTAGAAATCACAACATGGTTTAAATAAAGGCAACAGTAATATACCGCTGTTCAATAGTCATAAATTAATTGAGAGAAAACAAATCCGGGTTACAAACTAAAACCGAGGGAAACACATCAACTATAAGAGGAAAACAACGGAACAACAGAAACACTGAAGTGCAACAAAAACAAACGCCAACATACATAGAAACGAACTATTTGATAACAACTGCCATATTCCTGACTTGGATCAGGACATTTTAAGAAAAAAAATTAAAAAGAGACAAAAAGCCACACAATATTTCACAAAACATTACATAGAACCATAAAGATCAAGCCATACGATCCTCAATAACAACTGAGGTGAATAAGAGTAAGAACCAAGGGGTTGCTCTAATAACGCCATCCGTTGTTTTGCTTGTGAAAAAAAAGTCTGTGACAAGTTGAAAAGCTAGTTTCGTGGCTGAGTCACATATATTGAGTAATGACAGAATCCGGAGGCAAAGATGTCAATGACCTTAGAAATATTTGCTATTATATATAGATCCGTTTGGTCAAATAGCTTGTCACGTATTCAAATTATCATATACTTGTAACAAAACATATTTTCGATTTTTTTTTCAAATAAATATACTCATAACTTATTACGAATTAAATTCATAATAACCAATCGAATTTGCAGTTGTTATAAAGAACTAAACCAGTAATTATAACATCTAAAAGGCACCATCAGATCTTCAAGGGTTTTTGTATGTTTTCACATTCTTTTAACTTAACATTTGGTTTTT